ATACACTAGGGCGTCCGTAGTGTAGGATAAGCACTGGTAAAAGGTATCAAGAATAGAGTGTTTTGAGGAAATAGCCGGTGTATGGTTATAGCAAGCCTGGGGGGGTAAATTTACCACCCGCTTATGCATGCATTAGGTTAGAAATAGGGGTAGACAACTTGTAACGGTGAAGTACAAGTCCTATAGTAAGTCCTATGTAGCAAGCAGCAGCCAGCAGCAGCAGCAGCAGCAGCCGCCTGCAGCCAGCAGCCAGCAGCAACCACCAACCAGCAGCCAGCCAGCAGCACCACGCAGCAGCAGCGCAGCATCAAGCCGCAGCAGCAGCAGCACCACCGGCAGCAAGCACCACCGGCAGCAAGCAGCAGCAGCAAGCAGCAAGCAGCAAGCAGCAGTAGCAGCAGCGTCGCGGCGTCGTCAGCCGCAACAAGTAGCAAAGCAGCAGCTACAAAAGCGGCAACCAGCGGCAGCAGCAAACAGCAGCAGCAAGCAGCAGAGCGGCAGCAGCAGCAGCACCCTTTACACCAAGCCACCGTTTACACCCAACCAACCACGTTCAACCAACCCCCTACACGGCGCAGCTGGGAGTTGAACCGCGGGGGGGGGGGCGGGGGGGGGGTTAGCTTGATATATCAATCTTTAAGGCACGCAGCCCCTCCCACCACAACATTGCTAAAGCAAAGAAGAACTCAGCTAGCATGCTAGCTTTCGTGATAATAAAAGAAAAATTTAAAAATCCGGGCACCAACATTCATAATTACACCAGCATAGACCCAGATAGCTAGGCAGAATCCCACGATCTGTTGACATGCGACTGGCTTGAACAAGAATGTACGCAGCCTGCGCAGCCAGCTTACGGCACCTCCACAGCGCGCACAACCAGCTGCCACCAGCACCGGCGCGCTTTGCCAGCTCACAACACCGGCAGCAGCACCAGCACCCGACCAGCGCCGCCGCCCGTCTCAGCACCAGCACCTAGGACCACAACACCAGCACCAGCACCGACACCCTTTTGAAAGCGCGCGCAGCTCATTCTTATTGGCAGTAAGAACCCCATAGCTATCCCTGTTTGGTGAAAAACAATGTATGATCTTGCGCGTATAAGTTTACGCGCGCAAAAAGTATGCGCGCAAACAGCAAAGGCCAAGCAGTATCCAGCGCCACTATATTGACTTTGTAGCATGGTTGAAGCAACGATCTGTAGAACGATATATAAGGCCGTATGATCTTGCGCGTATACAGTAAGTTTATGCGCGCAAAAGTATGCGCACAAACGGCAAAGCCCGTAGGCTTCACTCGCCCAAGGCCAAGCAGTATCCAGCACGACTATTGTGTGTGTGTCAACCCCTGGGCCAAGGGTTCACCCTCACCACCACCACCACCACAGTTCCAAAGGCAGGGGAGTGGAGCAGGCCTGCAGAGCTCCACTTAACAAAGCTCTCTGCAGTGTCCTGAGGATATCGGCAAGGACGCTTGCCGACGTACCTGCACCGGAAACTGTTGCTCACGCTTTTCCACTTTCGATTTGATTCATGGTGGTTGCCCATGATACCTTCCCGCAAAACAGGTTTCCTCCACCAGATTTTTCCTTCCGCTGCTTTCAGCTGCCGTGCGTTTCTGCAGTCAAGGGAAACAACCATTGTTCAAACACCTACAACTGCACGGACTTTTCGCCATACTGTTCCACCGCCATCCTTCCCATCGTGGTAATTGAGTTAACTGAATACAATTGTCAGAGTGTGTTTCGCTCAGCCGTCCCACTCGGGTGCTGAGTGTGATCCCCGTCATTGGGGCGCTGTCTAAACGCGGGACTCCATAGCCGCCGGGCTTTAAAACGGTACTCCGCCCGCAGCCAGGCAGGTTTCCCGACCCCCCCCCCAGCCGAGTTCTACTCCCCACCTAATTAGGGCAACATAGGGAAATGGTACTCGACACACTTGTGTGTCGGTGCCTTTCCCTGTGTTGTTCCTGTTCTAGTCTTCTCTACCCGGGCGGTCTAAGACTAAAGTCCCGCTCCCTAACTACTGCACTTAATTATTTTCGGCTAAGTAATCAGTAACTCTAGAGTGCTAGGTAGTCAGACACACACACACATGTACACACACATGAACATACATCCC